TTTTGTCACTCGTTAAATTAATTTTGTATGAAAGTTTTTATACCATTTTCTCTGCCGTTTCTGCACTGTCTCTGCGTGGGAGAGAAAGGACAAGAAGGGCGAAAACACTAAAGACTGTTTTATGTTTTATCAGAATAAAAGAAGAGTTGAACTGTCAGCTGATGTCCGTCTGGTTACTCATTAAAAAAAAAACACAATGCAGATAACACCGGTTACATTTGTTCATCTAGAGATTCTGACTTTTAAGTCTGGAGAGTTTGATCTGATCAGTGCTCATGGGGGTCAAAACTCTTGCTTTCTATTATACAGGTGCATCTCAATAAATTAGAATGTCGATTGAATTTATTTAATACACGAGTTTCACAATTTGAGTTGAATTACTGAAAAAAATGAACTTTTCCACGACATTCTAATTTTTTGAGATGCACCTGTATGTGTGCATACATGTGGTGAGTACATCAGTAATTAAAAGTGTTTTTTGACTTGCTAATCTGCTTGAATTCACATTATATGGCTTTTTATTAATTTTGAACTCAATATAGCACCATGAAAATTGGAGTGAAACAGACAAATTCAGTTTTTTTTTCATTTATGCGCAGGCAGATTTAAAAAAAAAAAACTTGCAGTTGCTCATTTACAATAGACAGGTTGCTAACAGTGCTTCTGTGTTTTGACTGGAGTTATTAAGATATAAACATGCTCTGCAAGACCTCTTATAGCGAATGAGTCACAGTGGCCTTTATTTTTCTGGTAATGGCATCAAAACTTAACGTTTGTTTGTTTGGTTACAGATGCCTCTGAACACAATTTTGCTGTTACGACAGAGGCCTACGAGACAACAGAAAATGAGTCCTTTTCGGATGGGGTATTGTATGGAACCATATCCATATTCTATTCTATAGCAGAGCCAGGTAAAGTTTCCAGAACTCCAGAAGCAATTTGTAACATCATGTGACATTAGATTATTACTGTAGGCGCACATTGTTAGATCCTTGGTTTTGACGCGTTTGTTCCTTGAAGAGATTGATAATAAAATGCAAAGTCCATACCTTTGAAAATAAAGCTGGATATTCCAGTCCATTTATTGTTCGTTTCTTTTGATCAAATAAAAAAGCAAACAGAAAATGAAGAACAATCCATTCAGGTACATCAAGGTCAAAAAAGTTTGTTTGAGGCAAACCTCAGAGGTGACTTGAGAGCTTAAATACATTATGCACCCTCTAGTGGTCTGAAAGACAAATTCAGCAACCAAAAAAAGCTAAAAAAAAGCTAAAAAAAAAAAACTTAAAATACCCCACAGATAATTTTTTATAGCTTGTTTAAGTTGCCACTTTTAGGGTATGAGCCAAAACACACCGTTTTTGTCTTTGTCCCTTTAAAAGCAAATGAGCTGGTGCTCCCGGCCCCCTTTTCAGAAGAGGGCGGAGCTTCAAGAGCTAATGCTCCCGCCGGCAGGCCCGGCACACTGGTCACCGGCCACAAAAACTGTCAGAAACTCTCAAGTGATCGACTCATATTGCTTTCATATGCATTTTTAACTACCACATTCCTATTTACGATCGTTCTGGTAGCACGTGAAGGCAGCATCAGTGAAAACAGGCAGCGACGATGGTAACTTTAGCAATATTAGCCTTACAGAGTGCCAAGAAGCTCTTTCAGAAAGGCAATTTGAAAAAAATATCTATAATATAGCGCTCTCTTTGTCCGGATCTGATGTTCACGCACGAAGCGTTGGTATTGATCCCTCTTTCAGAATCAGACTGCGAAAATCCAGCGTTGAAATGACCCTTGTTTTTGAGGCAGCCCGGTGTAAAATGATTGGCATGACGTTATCGATATTTTTTCAGTACATTTCCTTCGAAAATGAAACTTAACCACAGTGTCCTTAGTGGCTCAGATGGAGGGAGTCTATTGAGATCCTATTTTCATTGGTGCATCCCAAAACACAACACTTGTATTGCCTCTTTGGCGCTGACAGTGTATCTCTCCAGTAATGGCGGACTGCTGCTTCTCACTCAGGCCTGTGCAAACAGAAAATGAAGAACAATCCATTCAGGTACATCAAGGTCAAAAAAGTTTGTTTGAGGCAAACCTCAGAGGTGACTTGAGAGCTTAAATACATTATGCACCCTCTAGTGGTCTGAAAGACAATTACAACAACCAAAAAAAGCTAAAAAAAAAAAACTTAAAATACCCCACAGATAATTTTTTATAGCTTGTTTAAGTTGCCACTTTTAGGGTATGAGCCAAAACACACCGTTTTTGTCTTTGTCCCTTTAAAAGCAAATGAGCTGGTGCTCCCGGCCCCCTTTTCAGAAGAGGGCGGAGCTTCAAGAGCTAATGCTCCCGCCGGCAGGCCCGGCACACTGGTCACCGGCCACAAAAACTGTCAGAAACTCTCAAGTGATCGACTCATATTGCTTTCATATGCATGGTATTGATCCCTCTTTCAGAATCAGACTGCGAAAATCCAGCGTTGAAATGACCCTTGTTTTTGAGGCAGCCCGGTGTAAAATGATTGGCATGACGTTATCGATATTTTTTCAGTACATTTCCTTCGAAAATGAAACTTAACCACAGTGTCCTTAGTGGCTCAGATGGAGGGAGTCTATTGAGATCCTATTTTCATTGGTGCATCCCAAAACACAACACTTGTATTGCCTCTTTGGCGCTGACAGTGTATCTCTCCAGTAATGGCGGACTGCTGCTTCTCACTCAGGCCTGTGTCTATGCTAATAGGGCAGAGAGTGTCACAAATGGGCGGGACTTTTCCCTATGGTGACGTGTACCTACGGAGAAATCTGAAATCACTTGTTCTGAGAGACTGTTTATGATTTATTGGGATTATAAAAAAGGAGTGGGTGGATTTTTAATAAAAAAGTGGGTTCTATAATCCCTCCTGCAGTAACTTCAGCAGCGTGAAGATCATCGTTTATCTCAGGACTGTGGTGACAGCAGCGCGGATAATTGCTTAGCTCGCTCACACATATAACCATATAATATCTTGTATAATGAGAAAAGCATATCTTTTTTATGACATAATATGTTGTTATTACTAGAATTTTTTTTTTTGTATGTTTTAGTTTTTGACATTCTTTGGCGACCTTCTTTAGTTTTGATGACATATCTCGTTATTATGACATAATAGAGTGGAAAAAATAATGTGTGTGGCAACAATGCATCACTGTAGTTGAATTGTGACGAGGAAGACTTGGGAGGCTCGAGAGGATCCATGTGCAGAGGTATTTATTGGGGCCAACAAAGCAGAGTCAAACAGGCTAGGCTCATACACAGTAGGGCGAGTAAATCCAAGCAAACAAGTCCAAAACGACAGGCCGAGGCAAAAATGACTAGAGTCCAAAACCAGAAGAGACAAATAAAGGGGAACGCTCAGAATGCTAACGAGAAACGATCTTCGCAAGCATGCACTGGCCAGCTAGGCCTATAAAAACACTAATGGATGACGTAGGAGGAACAGGTGAGGGCAGAACCGGACATTAGAATTCAGGAGAAATCTCCCTCATGCGTTTGGAGCGGATATAACAAGAATGGCTAAGAGTTAACTAGTGTTTGTGTGAAAAGCCCTCTATTAACCTATATTTGTCTGGTGGTGTTATGAGAAGTTTCACAGTTGTTGTTGTTTTTATAAATTTTTTAAATGTATTATTATTTATTTATTTTTGCATGTTTGTTTACAGATCTAGTCAATACCGGTGTTGTCAGAGTCCTTGGAGAAAATCTATTTAGACAGCCATGTAATCCTCTCCTGTCTCTACTTCTTCTTGCCGCTGGTTGTCACCTTAATAAGCTACACGACTATCATATATGTGCTCACTACCAAGAATGATCACTTGGAAACATCATACTCAGAAAAGCGAAAGAAGAGCTGCAATTATGGCTATAGCTGTGCTGAGTGAGTTTGTGCTGTGCTTTGCACCTACAAAAGGCATCTTGTTGTACCACTGTGTTCGTTTAGCCACCGGAGGCAGCAGTGAGGAGGGGAAATACTACCTGATGGCTGTGTGTTTGGGGAGCGCAAGTGTTTTTCTGGACCCTCTGTTATATTACTATGGCTCGTCTCAATGCAGACAGCAGATCCGCTCTCTGATCTGGTGGAGGAAAACAAAAAGTTCAACCACACCATCAAACACAAACAGTCAAACAAAATCCTCTAACCCGAGTTGCGAGTACACTCAGGCTCGCGTTAAGGTGTGAATTGTACTAAAGATTAATTTATAAATGCATAGTCTGTATAGCACATGGTTTATACATTCTGCCCAGATTCAGCCAAATGCAGCAAAGTTGATTGGACGGCGCTTCATAGTACAAATCGATAATGACCCAAAACATACAGTAAAAACAATCCAGGAGTTTTTGAAGGTAAAAAAGTGGAATATTCTGCAATGGCCAAATCAATCAACCCAATCGAGCATGCATTCAACTTATTAAAGACAAAACTAAAGGCAGAAAGACCCAAAAACAAACAACAACTGACATCAGCTGCAGCAAAGGCCTAGCAAAGCATTTAGGCCCTAGCCCGGCCCTGGCCTGAGATGCTCAGGACCTAGCCCGGCCCTTGTCAGACAGCTTATCAGAATTACCAGCCTGAGCCCAGCCCGTCTTTTTTTCCCCCCTTCTCCCAAAACAGCAACAGCTTATACTACTGTTTCAGCTATTAAAATAGTTCAGTTTTGTATGTAATGGCAAAGTGATTATATTTTGTTTTCTAAAGTTAATTTAGAAAAACGTTTGGAGCATTTTTTGTTCATTAAATATACGTTTTTGTTTTTTAAAGTAACGACCATGCGGCCAGCGGCAGACAAATGAGCTGATCATAGCCTATGTTTGATCAATTTAGCCTTCACAAATCATCGCGACTTGCCTAAAATAAAATCTACAGTTCAAGCATATTTATTTATTTTATTTATTTAAAGGGGTCATATGATGCGATTTCAATTTTTCCTAGTTGAATTGTGACGAGGAAGACTTGGGAGGCTCGAGAGGATCCATGTGCAGAGGTATTTATTGGGGCCAACAAAGCAGAGTCAAACAGGCTAGGCTCATACACAGTAGGGCGAGTAAATCCAAGCAAACAAGTCCAAAACGACAGGCCGAGGCAAAAATGACTAGAGTCCAAAACCAGAAGAGACAAATAAAGGGGAACGCTCAGAATGCTAACGAGAAACGATCTTCGCAAGCATGCACTGGCCAGCTAGGCCTATAAAAACACTAATGGATGACGTAGGAGGAACAGGTGAGGGCAGAACCGGACATTAGAATTCAGGAGAAATCTCCCTCATGCGTTTGGAGCGGATATAACAAGAATGGCTAAGAGTTAACTAGTGTTTGTGTGAAAAGCCCTCTATTAACCTATATTTGTCTGGTGGTGTTATGAGAAGTTTCACAGTTGTTGTTGTTTTTATCAATTTTTTAAATGTATTATTATTTATTTATTTTTGCATGTTTGTTTACAGATCTAGTCAATACCGGTGTTGTCAGAGTCCTTGGAGAAAATCTATTTAGACAGCCATGTAATCCTCTCCTGGTTCATGCTTATGCAGAATTTTCATTTCGGTGCATCTCTAGTAAATACACATTCTGTTGCAATGCTGAAAAGTGTAACTTTCCCATTTATAATCTACTGTACTTAAAATGTGTATAAATGTGAAGACAAAATAGTTTAAAAAATAAAACAAAACATGAGAGTTCTCATTCCGTAAACATCATATTTTAGAACACAAAACCCAAAACTACACTGAATAGTGTAATATTTACTTACAGCCAACGCATCATACCGGTTGCCAGCGATGAAGAAGGCTTAAGGATATGAATAAGAATTCACTTTATTAATCCCCGAAAGGAAATTTATGTCACAGCAGCTCATACCACACAAATAAATAAATAAATAAATAAAAAATATCAAAACATTCACTATGCAACAATTTGTTTTCGAGTATCAATTCCGCAAGGCATTACGAGTAGCCTATTACAAACAAATTGACACTATAATGCAATCATCTTATGTAAAACTGATTATATAGTCTAATAGCAGCTGGTAAAAAAGACCTCCTAAAACGCTCCCTATGACAGTGGGGTTGAATTAATCTTGTGTTTCCTCAATGCTGGGTAACACTCCCAACAACAGACAGCCTTTTTTATGAGCTTGTTTAATTTGTTCTTTTCTCTTTCCAACAATCCCCCTCCCCAACAAGTGACAGCATACAATAACACAGATGATACCACAGAATCATAAAAGGTCTTAAGTAGTACATGACAGACCCCAAAGTATCTCAGTCATCTTAACAGATGAATACGACTTTGACCTTTGTAAATCTGAATCATATTATCAGACCAGTCCAGCTTGTTATTCAAGTATGCAACCAAGTACTTGTATGTCTTTACAATCTCAATTTCAGACACTCCTATGTTTACTGGTACCACTTCCTGAGGATGATTACTGAAATCAACCACAAATTTCTTAGTCTTACTGGCATTTAGCCTGAGAAATTTTATCTCAGACCAGTGAACAAAAAAATAAAAAGTGAACAAAAAAGGAGCTAAAACCATTCCTTGAGGAACTCCAATACTGCACTTTACCACGACACACAGTACTGCATCCTCACATACTGTGGTCTATAGAGATAGTCAGTTCACCAAATGACCATACTCTGATGTACTCCAGCATTTTCCATCTTACTTCTCAGCAGTAAAGGCTGAATAGTATCAAATGCACTAGAGAAATCAAAGAACTTATTTCTAAAAGTGCTATCCGGAGTCTCTAAGTGACTCAGTGATTTATGTAAGAGATAAATAATTGCATCATCTACCCCAAATATTATAAGCAAACTGTAGTTTATCCTCAGCAACACATTACCTGCTTATTATGATTTAGTACCAGTCTCTTCAAAAACTTAATTAACTGTGCTGTCAAGGCAATTGGGCTATAATGCGAAAACTCCTTGAAGTTTGTTATCTGAAACTACCAATGTCTTCACCATGTGATTTACACAGCACCTCCCAATCAGTTGTTTATAAATGCATCATAGACCAATGCATACCATTTCTTAACAGTTCTTATTACTGGCGGTTGCTTCATCACAACCGGTACATGAAATGACAATATAAACAAGATTATGACCCGATCGCCCCAATGGAGGAAGCGGTGAAGATCTATAAGCTTCTGTGACATTTACATATAACAAGTCCAAGGTTTTATTGTCCCTTGTGTCACAGTCCACATACTGAGTAAACATGTGAAGAGTATTATGAAGAGATGCTTGGTTAAAATCGCCTGAGATAATAATGAGTGATTGAGGATATTTTGGTTGCATCCTGGCTGTAATATTGATGTGCTCACAAGCATTAATCACATTGGCCGATGGAGGGATATACACCAGTATCACTATCACAAATGAAAATTCTCTAGGCAAATAGTACAGTCTCATTCCCACAGCAAGTAATTTAATGTCCTTGTTACACAGTTTTTCTTTAACCTTAATATGACCCAGATTACACCAGCGCTCATTGATAAACAGTGCCAGTCCTCCTCCTTTACTCATCTTCATAGCACACTTGTCCACTTGCACAAGATGAAAATGATCCAATGCAACAACTGAGTCCAGTGTTCTCTCACTCAACCAAGTCTCAGTAAAGCACATAAAACTGCCATGGTACTCAGCCACCGAACATGACCACAGATAAAGATGGTTTGTATCGTCTTTTCTTTAGTCTACACTTTACTCCAGCTCTACACCCCCTTCTCCTCCTCTGCAGTTCAATTCTTGGTACAAATGACATTGCTGTATCCTGAAGTGCCAGTAGTTGTTCTTTGGAATAAATAATTGAGGCAAAGTTTGGTGCTCCCTTCACTGTCCCAGTAGTTTCAATTAAGAATGCCAAAATACGAAGAATCATAATCCAATGCTTCTTGATACTCTCAAACTTAAATCTCCACATAAGCACACTCCCCAGACATTGATAAAAAGAATAAAGAAAATAAAAAAGTCTAAAAAGTTAAAAACATTCAGAGCTGTTGCGACAGGCTGCCACATGTACGCCGCAATCTTGGGAGGGGTTTATCAAGATGCCAATGTCTGTGTGCTGGAGCAACATGGAATGTTAATGTAGAAATTAACAACAAATTTGGATTAAAAAATAATTTCAATATACTGATGATCATATAAACTACAAAAATGACAAAGTTGTCCTGGCAGCCAAATAAACTGAAAATACTGAATACTGTATGAAGGGAGGTCTTTGGGCACGTCAAGGCATTATATAATGAAATCATGTTGGAGCTTTAGGGAAAATGGCCAAATAAGCCTTCATTCGTCTGTCTCTCATTCGGAGCTGTGATGTCTGTCAATTACAGCTCGATTTCTCATTCACTCTGTAGGTTATAGCAATGAATAGGAATTAATCTGGGCTCAATGGAGGGTGGAAGATCCAGTGATGTCACCATATATAAATCCAAGCCTCTCCTCACAGAAGAGACTGAGCGCTCAGACGAAGCACTGTCTGTAAAGAGATTCATCTACAGTTAGGAAGTTACCCCTGATCGGTACTCATGGCGGTCAAAACTATCTTGTTTTCCATTATACTTCTGCATGCATGCACTGCCACCTTTAACGGTAAGTTCATCAATGCAGTTGTGCATGAAAAGTTTGACTTTTAATTCTAGTATTTCAATAGAGTTTAACTATGCATATGAGTGACTCAAACCTTGATTGTATCAAATTATGTGTGTAAGGAAGCTTGGTTTGTACAGATTGCTGGTTTAAATTGTGTGATAGCTCAAAGAAAGATACTTGCCTTTAATCTAAATTGCTTCTTGCTGCAAAAAAAGTAGTGGCTACTACAGTACTCAATCATTTTCCTACACTATGGTATTTTCATGGTACCCCAATTACCATATTAACTTTAAATACCATATTACTATGGTACAAACAACATAGTAATGATTTTTAGTAATAATTTCTATGTACACCGGTT